CACTTGTGCAACAGCAACTGTTCAGATCAACAGGCGACGGGGTGTACGTGCACCTCGGAACTCTTTTGTGTTTGCCTGCTAATATATCAACAGCTGTCACATTGCTGCTCCTGTATGCTCCGTTTCCTTTGCTGCTACTGCTGCTGCTGCTACTGCTACTGCTGCTGCTGCTGCTGCTGGTTCGCTGCAGGTTTCGAACGGAGTTGGGGGAGGCGGCGGGGCCCGAAGAGGGCTTTGCGTTGCTGGGGCGTGTGCTGTCGGACTTCGACAGAAAATGTGAATGGAGCACCAGACAAATTGTAGCAGCGAGGAGAAAGGAGAGACAGACAAAAGGCAAGACAGAAGAAGAAGCAGCAACAGCTAAGGCAGTTGTTGCAGAGATTAGACAGGCGCTTGAACATGAAGCAGTGAAAGGTAATCAAATGAAGCGTGCAGCCCTAGTATATCCACGCTGGCCTTCTGCTGCTGTCTTTTTTCGTGTGTTTATCTCTGCTTCTCTGTTTCTTTATTTCTCTCTGCTGTCTTTGTTTGCTCTCTGTTTTGTGCGCTTGCCTTTGTTTGTTAGTTTGCTTTGTTTTTCTGACACCGTCTCTGTACTTCTCGTTTTTGTTTCTTCTTCTATATTCTTGTTCATGTCTTGTTTTTTCGCCTGTCTCCGTGTCTGCTTGCACTTTGTTTGTTTGCCTATCCTCTTTTGTGCTGTGCCTTTTTGTCCCCTTTTGTGTCAGCCTGGGCCATGCGTCTACTTTCTCCCCCTTTTTTTGTGGATCTGCACATTTGTATATTATCTTGTTTGAAGTGTAGCGTATTCTCACAGAATAATATATTATGTTGTATCAACTGTATATCTTCTGCAGTATTACACTGTGTTGTATACTATGTTGTATCACTGCATATCTTCTACTATATTGCACTGTAATCTTGTACTGTGTATTGTATGTGTATTCGGTTGCATGCGTTGCTGCAGAGATTCGCGGGATGCACCGACTACAGCTGGAAGCCCTCCGTATGCTGTCTGCACGGCGTTTTGAGTTGCTGCTGCAGCAGCTGCTCTCCGGTAGGGCAGGCCCGCAGGAACAGCAGCGGCAGGAGCAGCAACAGCTTAACCTCTATGATATCGCCAAGTGAGACTTTATGAACACAAAATATAGCACAATTACACGCGAACGCACACACACACACATACACACAAACACACAGAGGGCGCCGTTCAGCAGGTAGTCAGCGCAGTGTCTCTACACCACGCACGTCGCACTGCATGGAGCAGCACTATTTGTATTTACCGCCACCTGTTATTTAGTCATATCGTGTTGTTTCGTGTGTGTTTATGTCTTGGCGCGTGGGACCTGCAGCCGTGTCTCTGACGCAGTGCTGCAGACTGCAAATAATTTGCAGCAGTTCATTCGCGACCATCATCGAGCGATGGGGCCCGAGGCGATAAGAAAGCTTCTTATAGATGAACAAGAGAGAACACCGCAGCAGCAGCAGCAGCAAGGGCAGCAGCAGCAGGAAACTGTAGCTGCACGGGATATGTTGGAGGCCGTGGAGCGGCTTGCTGCTGACGAGCGTCGCCTGTTGCTGAAGTCTCTGCGGGAGATTGCTTCCGCTGCACTACAGCACCAAGAGCTTCTGGAGCTCCAGCAGCAGCGCCAGTCAGGTTTGGGCCCCCTGCAACGTCTTCAAAGGAAGGCCGTCAATAGGTTCTTAGCAACTGTTCCTGGACGGGCAGCGTTGGGTGGCCTGCGGCAACTGAGCAGCGCAGCTGCGGCGGCAGCAGCACCAGCAGCAGCTGCTGCAGCCCATGCAGCACAGTTGCCGCTGATACGCATGCTGCTGCAGTCCCCCTTGATGAATTTGCTGCGTCAGAGGAAGCCAATTGATATTTCCTTTCATTATCTAAGCCCAACGGCCTTCGGCCTCTCCCCTGTTCGGTGAGGCTGACGTTCTTCAGTGTACACAATCCTTACACATGCGTATATAAAAGTACATAGTGTATATATATATATATATGTATATATATATATATATATATGAATTATGTATGTGTCATATATATACGGCATCAATGAAAGCATTGACATGCGTATACATGTGGGCGACAAACTTGCATAAATATGCAGGTGCATATTCATGTGTACGGAGTGTATATACGCACACGCAC